TCACGCCCAACAAACCCACCAAAAAATCGGTATACGTTACACGCCATGTTTAAAAGATGCTATGCCATGCCATCACCATCAGGTCTTTATAAATCAACGGGACTCGGGTTCCTCCATGGCAGACACGCCCTGTGGTACGAACTGCCAGCTGGGCTGAACTCAGAAGCAGCGACAACTCCGTGTGGAGGTTCATGGTGATACAAGCAGCAAGAATAGGCATTAGGGTTGAAAATCAACCTATAATTCAACCTAACACGGCGATATTTCATGGGAGGTCGTCAATGAGGATCTATGCAGAGCCACTGTTCAAGCCAATGCCATAAAGCTATCATTTGGGGACTATTTTTTTACAGCCATTTATCATATATCGTGATTTTGGGGATGATTTGTGGCATAAACGGGTTTACCACATTGATGGTCTATCCTCCAGAAAGCTCAGAGTTTGCTGGTCAGGGACTATCCAATTAAGGGATGATTCAGTAAACAATGATGGGAATACATCAACAATCAACAAAATGATGCTCGAAAATGCCCAAAAGGTCAAATCAAACACATTCGAAGCATCAAATCAATTCACAGTGGTCAGTGCTTCCGCAGATATACAGTAGCATATCGTAGCACAACAGCGCATCTTCAACGATGTCGAGATTTGCTATTGCGCCACAATTCGATTAAACGAACAAAGGTCACAAACACTTGCAGTGTATGGCGGCCAAAGGACCTTGCACATACACTCTGAGTCAAAGGGACGTGTCTTGGATCCAAGAATGGATAGCCTGTTCGATCTTGGTTTTGTATTGTTCAGAGTCACATAGCACACCGGGCGGTGTCGAACAAGTTAGGAAGAATATGGTTCTATGTCCGATCCTACTCTTTTCCCTGCAATTTTCTCTGAGACTGGAATGATTCCTAGAATCACAAGACGATTGCGGATCCTTTGATATTCCATGTCAAGTCGCCATATTTAGATGGACAGTTGAAACCCTTTGCTAATGCACATGATTATAAACAAAACGTCTGGGTCTGAGACAGGTCTTCTCAAAAGCATAAGCAAATGCTTTTGAGTGGTCAAACGGGTCGTCCAACAACTCGAACTTTTGAATGCTGGGTGTGCTTGATATTCAGGGGACGGGATTCAGAAATGTTAATCGTCTTCGGGGACCCAAATCACGTTCCATCGTTCGATCTGCTTAAGAAAGGCGGTGGCTGGTTGTCACTCATGGCAAAAACGGATCGTCCCGGCAGTTTCACTGAGATCTCTGAGCTTTGTGATACGGTTGATAGGTATAAAGTGCCCCCACACCGTTACTGTACCGATTATGTTTTAGTTTCACCCATTTAACGCTAGATGATTGTAGACGAATATTGACCAGAAGTCCTTGCGATCCTACATAATGTAGCTATAAACCAACTCAGCTATCCTGAGGGCCCCAATGCCATTGTATCCACTGGGTTTGACAATTATGTCCACTCAGAATGTGTCAGGTGATTGCGTTGCAATCCGGAAACCAGACTCTTTTGGATTGCCAAATTGGTGGTTGACCTACCCCTCTGAAAAATATAACTGTAGTCAAATGGATGATGAAATTCCCAATATATATGGGAAAATAAAATTCATGTTCCAAACCACCAACCAGTAATGATTGAGTAACCATCATAACACGGCGTTGGAAATCCATTAGTCTGTCGCTGGTAACTCAAGTCAATGCGCGAACAAGATCCTGCAGAATTGGTTGTGCAACATCCAGTTCCTCTGGGACATCCGCAACTCAAATCGGGATAAGCACTGGCAATGACACAAATATGATATAATGATAAACAATGGGATATCATCGGAATATCATGGGAATATCATGATGATATGATATATGATATAATCCTCTCCCCCGAAAAAGAAAACAATAAAGAATCGTAAACCATGGTTTAGGAAGCAATGTACACATCTTTGGGACCATGTCATGGGAATTATTTAGAGGATGACTATTCAGCCACACCAGCTCCTAACTGAGATGTTTTGATGTGTTTACACTCTCCAAAAACCAGGATGTGGACCCCATAATGTGGGTCAAACAAGGCCCTTTTTAGCACCCAGACTGGGAATGGTTTATACAATCCATAAAAATGGTGATTTGGGGGATAGTTTATGGCATTTTTCCTCACATTCTTACTATTTGAGACATCCTCCACTTTCCAAAGGGGACCATGATTCGGAAACTCATCACATCGCTTCCCCGCGATAACTCATAGCAACCCCCACAAAGGAGAGTGGATTGTTCTTGGATTTTTCTTGGATTTTCCATATGAAGTCCTGGATATCATCTACAACGTCCTGGATACACCGATTCATTAAAACCTGGGGGATCCCCATGCGGCCGATCTGGAAAAAATTCTCAAGTGTTTAGCTTGTCCGGACATAGATATTCTGCCATATATCCAGACATACCAGTAGTACCGCACAAGGCGGTGGCGGAAGTTTCAAAAATGGAAAACCTATAGGAGAGGTGAGTTGGTGTGACGCAAAAATGGCAGAGCGAACCCACTGATGGATTGAAAGGTGGTTGAGTGTTTCTCCCTTTCTGTCTCTCTTTCTTTCTTTCTCTCTGTGTCTCTCTTTCGCCATCTATCTACAGAGCTACCTTTCTAGCAATCTACCTATCTACCTGTCTATTCATGTATCTATCGATCGATTTGTTTATTCACCTATCTATTAAACTGTCTATCTTTCTGTCTATCCAGCCATTCATCCATCCACTTTCTTCTCTCTGTTAGTTTTTTTTCCGTCCATCTCTTCATCGATCCATGTCCACGGCTATCCATCACCATGTTCTTCCATGCATCTGTCCGTCTACCTCTTCATCCATCTATCTCAACGTCCAAAAGTGCTCCGAGACCGACAGTCTTTAACACTTTTTACTTCCCTATGTGTCTATCTATGCATCTATTCATCCGTCAAGTTCTCTCTCCACCTGTCCTTCGATCTACCTCTTGACCTGTCGATCAATCTGTCTAACCGCCACGTCGACAACAAAACAATGCTGCTAGACTTCTGTTGGCAACATCAAAAACGAAGCAATTCTGCGAGACTTTCTCACTTTTTGCAGTTGAAAACATCAAAAACGAAGCGATTCTGCGAGACTTCCTTCAAAAATGGAAAGTTGACTGTGCAGCTGACGGCCTCGTACCAATGCGTTTTGCGACTTTTCCATGCCGTGTCTCTAAAGTACTGCGCCTGCAGTAAAAAAGTTAGTCCAGGTCATACGAAATGCTGCACCTGTCACGAAATAGCATCTTGGCATAGCTGATGATTTGATACGCCAAAATGCAACCACTCTCAGGAAATCACCTCCTTGAGCTCCGAACATCTCTGCTGAAGATGCCTCTTGTACTGCGCCTGCCACGAAAAATGCATCTGTGCAGATCCTCTTCAAATCTCCCACGCCTGCCATCGTTTTTGAAAATGCTACAACACCCTCACGTTTTAGCCACTTTTCAGTGGATGCACAATCCACTCCACCTGCCACACAAAACGACGTCTGAACGTCCAAAATGTCTCCGAGACCCTCAGTTTTTAACACTTTTGACTTCGAAATGTGCTTCGCGCCACAACGCCGTGCACTTTTTCGACATCTCAACTTCCAAAAGTGCTCCGAGACCGCCAGTTTTTAACACTTTTTACTTCCAAATGTGCTTCGCGCCACAACGCCGTGCACTTTTTCGTCATCTCAACTTCCAAAACTGCTCCGAACCCCTCAGTTTTTAACACATTTTACTTCCAAATGTGCTTCGCGCCACAACGCCGTGCACTTTTTCAACATCTCAACTTCCAAAAGTGGTCCGATCCTGAGGTGTTTTGTACCTTTTTACTTGGAAATCGGCTTCGCGCCACAACGGCGTGCAACTTTTCATCTCTCATCTCCCCAGATGTCTCCGCACCCGCCGCTTTAGCGAGCCTACTTTTCAACCCTCCGGAGCCACAAAACCACGAAAAAACACAGTGTTTCGCGACTTTCCTACCTTTTCGCGCACCTGCATCTTCTTTCTTCTGATCTTTTCTCTTCTGACTCTTCTCCCTGCTGACTGCTTTTTCATCTCTCCATATTGTCGGAAGTTTGACTTCTAAACTTCCTTCGGTCAAAACTAACATTTATATACATGTATGATCATTTATGTTATTTATCCTAAGTCCTAAGATATCTGACATATCTTCTGGCAGATTCTCCGATATATCCGACCATTTTCTGACACCAAAGTGGCGCGCTAGATCCAGGGGGAAGTTGAAATCCTCTGTGGTTTTCCAATCAGAAACTCATCGCAGTCATGGCATTCCTCCATCGAATTGACAACCAGCCCCACCGCGCTGCTCTGAATCTGAACATCGATCTGAATGAGAGCTGCGCCAACTGCGACAAGTTCCATGCCCTGAGTTTGGATCTGGCCACCCCAAGCCGGGGTCAACGTGATCACCCAAAATCATGCCATTTGGAGAAACGATCCCACGTGTATGGCTGCAACTTGGTGCCATCCCACCGAATAAACCATGTTCACATGCAGGGCACGAATCGCAGCACTGATTTACACGCTGCTAGCAATAGCTGACCACAAGTCAAGAGGTCAGCTGAAAATTTGCCAGGATAAATCTGTCAAAGGTGATGAAAAGTAATGTCATAATGTGAGACCTCGCTGCCACCTCAAATTAGGAAGCAGGAAGCAGAAAAAAAACTGGTTCGCCTTGCCAATCTCAATCTGGAGAGTCTGAGTTGGTAGCACAAGCAATGAGGCAATTCTGATGTAAAACATTTGAGCCAACCAGAAGACAGATCTCTCGCTTACACGTGAACATCATCCAAAGCTGATGGATGCTGCTGGGACGTAGATTCATGTGATTTCATGTGTCTGCAAGCGAACGCCTTGAAATTTGGTCAAAGTGAGGGTCCAGATAGTTCTCGAGATTCAACTCGGAATTAAAGCCTAAATCCATTTTTTTGGACCATTTTGGTGCTCCACTGAACCATTTGTTTTTCGTCCAGACCCTCCGTGCGACTTGCCAGCAGTCTCCGCCCAAACTCAGCCCTTGCCTGGTTTAGACCCATAACCTGCGGGAAGCAACAAAAATAGTACGATGGAAAATACACTAACCATTTTTAGCAGGTAAATCCTCGAACTCGGGGCCATCTACCCCATAGCGAACTGTTTGGTTTTTTATATGGGTCTGACAATTGGTGGACCCCCAATTTGTGGCATGTTCTCATGGATAAAATTAAAAATATCAAGTACTGAATTTTGGCGTAGCAATAGCCTGTGTTCAGACAAATCCATATAATGGAAATATCATGGGATATAGTGAGGATATATTGTGGATTCAACCAACAATCAAAGGGTTTATCACCAAGAAAAATGAGATAAAATGTGATAGAATCATGGAGATTGAACCAACCAGCAATTAGAATGGGATGATATTAGCGAAAATAAGGGTTTCCAGTAAAACACGGGATGGTTTTCATACGAAAAAAGGTTCATGGGATTTCGCCAACAAGGTTCATGGAGGTTACAGTAAATCCCTCACCGGATTTACAAATACACAATTGCATCCAGGATATTAGCTGAGTTGGTTTATAACCAGGCTAATTAGGGTGGATAAAGTGGATGTGTCTATAGTTGGAGGGTGTTATAAACCAACCTAGAACTGGGGGGGCACCTGCCAAATCGGTCTATAGCTACAACAACTGTTGGATTTATTAGTGGATATATGTCCAGTTGAAAGTGGTGACAATGAAACAACTATAGATAGGCATTGTTTTACCAACCATAGACATTGGTTGGAAGAAGTTCCCCCACCGCGAATAGGGATTAGACCGGCAACAATAAAGGTACAACTAAAATAATTCGGACTGGTAAAAGGAAATTCAGGTAGTTATCCCAGATAGGTGACGACATCAAAACCTAGGAATATAATGAAAGTATATATATGGACATATAAGCCACCAATGACAGACATGGGGTTTGAGAACATAATCAAAGTTGACCCTCCCAAAAGATAAGGCTATATAATATGGCTGTATAAAGAACAAATCTTAACGACCATAAATCAACAAGAAGGGCTTATTGACGATCTATAACTGCAACAACTAGAATAATCTCCAGCGGATATATCCACAGTGGAAATCAGTGGAATAGATTGATAAAATAAGCATCCACAACCGTGTGGCCTACCAGTACGTTACGGGAATGGATTTTGGAACTTCCAGTGGTTCAAGAATGCGTTCATCATAAGTGGATTGTAACTGTGATCCTCAAATGGTAGGTCTATTACCGAGTTTATCACATTATTAACCATTGTGCACCACTATTAACCACTATGAACTATTATTGTTAACTGTTAACCACTATTGACCATTATTCGCCATCATATATGAACCAACAGGGGTAAAACAATTCACTGAACTCGATGGGAATTTCCTATCTATCTATCTATCTATCTAGCTCGTTAGCTATATGTACATATGTATAGTGCATATGTGTTATATATATATATCAAATGTCTGTATGTACATGATATGTGCATGTATATATATATATATATATGCATGTTGATATGTATGTACTATATGTATACTACTGGTATGTCGCATGGTGACCCAGGATAGTTGCGAGCCTCTTACGATGCAAAAAAAAAAAACGTCAATAGTTTGTGGCAACGTGAAACGAAGTGTATCAGTGTATTGTATGTGTAAAATCAACAGGAATCCTTGTTAACACTATATTAAATAACACTTTTTTAGTGGACTTCACTTAAACAAGGTACTATAACACTATATTAATGTGATGATGTGTCACTATAACATGAATCTATATAAAAATTGGAAGTCCAGAGATCGGCGAATGATCCCAAGGGACCATGGAAATCGGCAACTCACATTCTCTCCTGTTTGGTCAATCCACGTAATTTAGTCAAACAACGAGTCTCTCTTTGATTTAGTCAAACAACGAGTTGTAATGATTTCACATATGTCAATTTGAATGATGATATCACTCAACTCATCTACTCAAATCCTCTCAAATCAATACTTGATCATGTTGTGAATACATGTTTCATACATATTTCGCGCCGAGGATCGAAAAGGCTTCTCGATGGATCAAAGGGCACCGTTCTTTCATTTACATGTTTGGTAAATAAACGGCGCCCGGAGCTTCGCAGCCCTTGCTGCGCCCCGAACATGAAGGCCTCGGTGTTACATCCATCAGGGTGCAGCCACCGGTAATTAAGAGAGCTACGGTTTAGATGTCTACTTTTGAAACAAAGTTAAGAGAAGCTAGTTTTCCATAGCTATGCTAGTCTACTTGAAGGTATACTTGGGATACCCAATCAGAAAGGCCTAGTGGGAATGGTTTTATTGGATTTCCCTTGTTCCTAGCCTATTTTAGGTGTCACTTGTTCGACCCAATCCCAAAGTGGGGTAGCGACAATCGAGAGTTGATACATGCGTATGGCTCTTAAAACATGGGGTACCCAGCAACAACCCACAGGAGTCATCATGTTTAACCATTTTATATAAGCATAATAACCATTGGCCATAATACATATAACCATGATCACCATTAGCCATAATAACCATGATACCATACCTTTTTAACCAGTTTCTTCATGTTTATTCAGTTTAACACGTTGGAGGCCCAGCAACGTTTCGGTCCGATCCATCGGATTCCATCGATCAACGCCTCCGAGCCATGGATGGTTTCAACATGACTATGCCGCGTATGATCAAAATGGTCTCAAACTACCAACCAAATGTTGAGCAACAAGGTGCTTCTAAACAAAATTTGATACGTCCTGAAACATGTTACATAGATACCCAATATAAGCTGAAGTGTACTAAGTCAACAAGTCAACAACCTGAAAAATAAAAATAAACACATATCTTAGAATCATTCCCCAATCCAAGTCCCATCCTCACACTGACCTCACAGGTCGCGAGCGAACTTCCCGCAGTTTTGAAATTGGTGATTTGGTGCCTCCCAACCCTGCAAAGACAATGAAGCTCCGCTGCGATATGCTTCTATTGCCTGCATCACAGAATCACAGGTAGTCACCAGCCCGAGTTCTTCCAATCTTATCCCCATCACCCCATCCCCGTAACTATATACAGTAGATTCAATAGATATATCTACAATTCATCCAGCAATTATCACACTTCCAAAATGTTCTACAAGCAACTTCCCTATCTTGATCCCATGGCAACCCCATTGGACGCTGTCACCGAGCCTCGTTTCAAAAAAATGCGCTCGTCAGGGTTGAGCCGGTCGGAGGAGTCGGAGGAGTCGGAGAGGTCGGAGAGGTCGGAGAGGTCGGAGAGGTGCCGGAGTCCTTGGAGCCGCCGCGACGGGTCTTGGAAGATCTTAGCCCCAAGCGCATCTCGGGGTCCAGTTCCTGCGTGTGCGGCGTTCAAAAAGGCGCTTGGATGACATGGAAATGCATGGACAATATGGACATGCATGTTTCGGCCATAAGTTCAACTGAAATGTCTGCCTTTGGAAGATGTTTTTGCCCGAAGTGTTTTTTCCGCCTGAAGGGGTCTTGGCCCAGCTTGCTTGATATCCTATGTTGTGATGCGATACCACGCAGTCAACAGTTTCACGAGTTCTGGTTTGAAGCAGCATGTTTTTCAAATTGAAGGTTTTCCAGCACAAAAAAAACAATTTGTCATTCTTGGAAATCAGTGGTGGTTTCCCACCCGATTCGCACCAATTTCCGATTGAGATTTGTTCATTACAAATTTTGCCCGAATTATCTATGTTTTTTTTTGCAGTGCACACTGGATCATGTTGCTGTTGCAGGTGGCATCAACCACACTTCACACCTTCTGAGAGCTGCAACACGCGTTTATGTTGCCAAAAAGTGCTAAAATTGCCTGAATCCAAAATTCCGCCCTCATGTTGACAAAAACCCAAACCAATGTTCAGGCTGATAACCATAAGAGGCTGGAAGTCCATCCCGAAGGAAGGTCTAGGAATAGGAAATTTATATATATATACATACACAAAAATAATGTATATACATACATACATACATACATACATACATACATACAGACAGACAGACAGACAGACATACAGACATACAGACATACAGACATACAGACATACAGACATACATGCAATTAGTAGTAAGTAGTAGTAGTAGTAGTAGTAGTAGTAGTAGTAGTAGTAGTAGTAGTAGTAGTAGTAGTAGTAGTAGTAGTAGTAGTAGTCGTACTCGTACTCGTACTCGTACTAGTAGTAGTAGTAGTAGTAGTATAGTAGTAGTAGTAGTAGTAGTAGTAGTAGTAGTAGTAGTAGTAGTAGTAGTAGTAGTAGTAGTAGTAGTAGTAGTATTAGTAGTAGTAGTAGTAGTAGAAGTAGTAGAAGTAGTAGTAGTAGTAGTAAGTAGTAGTAGGTAGTAGTAAGTAGTAGTAAGTACTAGTAAGTACTAGTAAGTAGTAGTAAGTAGTAGTAAGTAGGAGTAGGTAGTAGTAAGTAGTAGTAAGTAGTAGTAAGTAGTAGTAAGTAGTAGTAAGTAGTAGTACGTAGTAGTAAGTAGTAGTACGTAGTAGTACGTAGTAGTACGTAGTAGTAAGTAGTGATAAGTAGTAGTTTGTAGTAGTTAGTAGTAGTTAGTAGTAGTTAGTAGTAGGTAGTAGTAGTTAGTAGTAAGTAGTGGTAAGTAGTAGTAAGTCGTAGTTAGCAGTAGTTAGCAGTAGTTAGCAGTAGTTAGCAGTAGTTAGCAGTAGTTAGCAGTAGTTAGCAGTAGTTAGCAGTAGTTAGCAGCAGTTAGCAGTAGTTAGCAGTAGTTAGAAGTAGTTAGCAGCAGCTAGCAGTAGTTAGCAGTAGTTAGCAGTAGTTAGCAGTAGTTAGCAGTAGTTAGCAGTAGTTAGCAGTAGTTAGCGGCAGTTAGAAGCAGTTAGCAGCAGTTAGCAGCAGTTAGCAGTAGTAGGAGTAGTTAGGAGTAGTTAGGAATAGTTAGGAG